GGCTTGTACAGTGGGATGTTGTCTGCAGTGTGGAGATGGTCAGCAGCTCATGCTATGGTGCTGGAGGAACCCAGCCTGGGCCACACTCTCCACACGCTGGAGACTCAGGTACGTGCATGCTGAGGTGGGGGCGCAATTCCCTCACCCTCGAGCCCCCTGCCCCCACCCCCCTCCCACTCTCCACACCTCTCCTCCAAATCTAATGCTTCTACATTATATACACTCTTCACCACAACAGGCTTCACCAGACTGTTGGAGGACAAAGCTAACAAAGCAAAACCAAGCTATTGCCTCACGTGTTCCTCTGAAAAGCATGGATTGAAAAATGTTAATTTCTGTTTGCAGAAAAGCCATTGATGGGGCCTTGCCTTGTGCTACAAAGCATCTTCAATCAATTGTTTTGAAAGGCCTTGCCGTTTGCCAAATGGCTGAGGACAGTGCTTGCGATTCCGTTATTGCTTTCTCCTTATACAAAGACTCTCTTCGGTGACGGGTATTCTTGGGTGGATAATACGGATCACGTTGTTATTGCTTAAGAATACGCGTAGTCGAGGAGAGTCATGTCGGCGGTGACGGCAGGGGACTAGAGAGAGCGCACATCCCAGAGAGCCCACCTGCCTGCCCTGCTGCGTTTAGAGCAGGGGCTCACACCCGCGCACGTTCACGCTCGCACCGAGACTCACACTCAGGGCCATTTATCAAGCACGCAGACAGAGCTGCATCTCCTGTGTCTGTGGGTGATGACTGTGCTGTTGAGTCTCTGTAGATGGGGCTGGCCACTCCTGTTCACCACGTAGCCTTTTACTGGATTTCTCCCAAAATGAAACGAAAAAAGAAGAGGAATGTTTGGATGGTGTGTAATGTCGTTATAATTGATTTTTATTCATCATCTGCTTATGCATTCCAGTTGCACTGCTTTTAGTACATAATGTGAGCTTTGGTGCCTTACTGTTATGTATGTGAACCAGATTTATTTATTTATTTATTTATTTATTAATTAATGATCAGCTTGGGAGCTTTGGTAAAGGGAGCTGTACATTCTGGGCGGCTGCAGATGCAAATGCATGTAGTCTACAATATTTATTATCTGTCCTCAGGACCACACACTCTTCACCTCCCACTCCACCTTTTTTCATGCAAATTGATTTTGAAATGACATTTATCGTGTGGGGTTTCCGCACGGAAGCCTGCCGCGCTACACGGGCTGAGAAAAGAAAAAAAAAAATACAAAACAAAATGTCCACCAAGCCAGCGACAGCTCAATTTATGCGCTGGAGAGGAAGACTGATTCTAAAAGAACACACAGCAGATAAACAATTACCACAGGCTTAGATTGACTAGAGCTCTGCTTGCCATGTAGCCACGCACACATCATGAATATGTATCAGTCACCGCATATGATGGTGCATTCTAAACTCTAACACCCATGAAAATCCATTTAAGCAGCGTAATAGGATCTACTTGACTTATGAAAGCATACCCTTAGACACGTCAAATCTTATAAATATACATGAGATCTTCTTTTTGGCAGGAATGTATTTTCCTTCATTTTCAAAATGCTTGAGAAAAACAAGCATATATCATTCAGCAGGGGGAAAAATAAAAAAAATATGTTGATGTATTAACAGGGAGGTTTTCTAAATCTGCAAACAGTCCAATTTACTCTTGATTATCATTAAGCACATTGAAATGACACATTAGCATTTCAGACAGACTAAAGAAAACAATTCAGTGGCTCTCCTCTTGATCACCCTGTAATTATCCTTCTTTTGGCTGTGCTTTAATGAACAGAGAAGCCAGGAAGACCATGTTATGCACCTTTACCACTAGGGGACCCACACAACTGAAAAATAATATGTCATGTTTCCTGTGTTTTTTCTTCTATGGCATAATTATAGCTTTGTTTTAATGGAACATATTAATTGTGGAAGTCTGTATGTAATTGAACCAGAGATATAGTTTTGCTTTTGCTGCTTTAAAAAGAATTTAATCTGATCAGCAAAACCTTTCCACTATGCCACATCATGTGCTTTTCCACTACATTCAAAACATACAGAGGGCATTGGTAGTTTACAGTTGCACTGTACATAATAATAAAAAACAATAGCCATAGTTTAATCTAATATAGCTCTTTTAAAAGTCTTACATTAAAAATAACATATTCTCTGATAACTAATGCTAGGAAAGAAATCTCTTCAAATTTCAAATCACCCTTATCAATGTATATCAAAACAGCAGGACAAGGGCTACAAAGAGCCAGTTGGACAAAGAGCACTGAATTGTCCCTCCCTTCCCCCTACAGATTTGTTATACCAGTGTATTAATGATTATCTTTATTAATAAGTAAATTCTCCATAATATGACTGTGAGATGACATTTATTGAATTATCTGAAGAAAAAAAAATTATATAATATATATAACATATATATAATTTTGAAAATATTAATCTGCAATTTAGAAAACTTCATAAAAAGAGTTTGTTTGAGAGCATAGTTTTGCTTGCAGTTGATTAAGATTTTATTTTCTACTTTTGATAAATAAACGCACTGAATAGGGAATTTATATAATATATATGAGTGTGTCAGAAGAGGTATATATATATATATATATATATATTATATATATATACTATATATAGTATATATATATATATATATATATATATTCCTCTTCTGATGTCATTACATGAATTACCTCATCTAACAGCACATTATAGAATATTGTAAATACATACAGCAAGGTACCTCAAAATGACTGCACTTTATTGAATTTACTTATTTACTTATGTAATTTTTCCTGCTCTTTATGTCATGAATAAAGCTTTGTTTAAGTGAAATTTATGCATTTGTATATTTTGTCTCAGATGTAAGTTTTATTTTTCATTACAATTCCCAGTTCCACAAAAAGGAAAAAAGAAAAAAAAGCTCCCTATGTGTCATAAACATCATTGAACATTTTCACATTCACAGTAGGGCAGATATCCATTCATAAAGAACCAAAAAATCTACCTCATGTTATTTTATACTTGGGCTTAAAAAAACATAGATGGTCCATATTTCATGTTGCACATGGACCATTTCTGTCAGTGTTCCTATTAGGAACTGCACAGCTCTTTACAGATAATGTTGATATGCTTGTAAGTTTGAATTTCCGTGTTCTTATCACAGTTGGGCAGATTATCACCTCCTATCCTGTTTATTCTGCCTGACTGTGGCCTAAGCTCTTCTGCATGCTTCATCTGCACTAATCCATTTACACTCTTATAGCATAGCTCTGCGAAGCAGCACTGCGCTCAGTAGCCAACACACAGCACTGGCCCTAATGCTCATTGTCATCCTTGGAGAGGGACATTTACATGAAGATATTTCTCTGTCAAAGCACAGCTGCCTCTGCCCATCACATCCTCTCTGCACCAGTCACTCACACGTCAGGCTCGTCAGCATGCGTACGAGTCAAATTCATTCATCAGCAGACACCAGTGGTCAGGAGTTCCTAGTGGACGGTGCTAAGTCCACTCTGCTTATAGTTCATGAACGTAGTGAATGAAAAAAATAGTAAATGACAACCAAACAACAAACAAAATAATGCATTTAAGCTATTAAATAATAATTTTTGTTTTTTTTCAAAATAATGGTTATGCGTTATTTATTCAGCTTTTATTTGTTTATTTTTATTTATTAGTATTTACTATGGACAGAAGACAGAGTGTGCTCATCTAAATGCCATAACAGTGTGAGATAAGGTTATTGATTAGCTTATCATGTGTTAGTGAGACAAAGCTCTACTGAACTACGTACACATTGTCCTCACAATACTTATTTATTTAAGACGTTATTACACTAATGGGCTTTTAGAGCACGTACAATAGATCAATTGGGGAAAATGGTTGTGGTACAGTAGGGCCTTCACTGATTGTACATTACACCGAGTGTTACTGTTCTTGCAGGCTATTCGGCTGCCTGAATGCTCCATATCTTTTCTACCCATTCATGTTTTCTCTTATTTATTATTTTCATTTCTCACATCAGTGAGGAAAAAAAACTGATGCAACTGTTAGCAATGAATCATCTAACCACATTGTTTACTAATAGGAACCCACTGGATGACTTAGCTCCCTGATTATTGCTTCAGCTCATACAAGGGAGGAACCTAAACACCTTTAAGTGGATTCCTTTATGGGATTCCCCCTATATGCTCACGCATAGCTGGAATGATTCCCTATCTTGCCTCAACTTCCTTCAGGAACATAATGTGGTTTCTGCAAATAAGATCTGCAGCATTAATCAATTGGAAATGTGCTGCATTAGCGAGCTGCATTTCCGATGGCTGCCGCCCCTCAGTAGAGCACAAAAGGCAGAGGCAGACATTAAGCTCATATCCCCGGGCTTATTGACTCTTATAACGGGTGCAGATCATCATTATGCTGATACTAAGAGCTGATAGCGCACACCAAACTCCATTACATTAATTATGTGCATGCTACTTATTCTCCAGCATATGTGTTTGAAGGGCCAGGGTTGTGTACGGGTGTATGTGTGTGTGTGTTGCCTCGTGTGTTATTTTATCGATTAATTTCAGGTTAGCATAGGCAGTCAAAGCCAGCAGTATTTTTTTTAATAAGAGTGCACTGCTGAAGGGGCTGAGGCTCGTTTAAATAGCAGTCTATGAAATGTATCCACATCAGCGCTTCATAGATAGGAGCTAAGCAATATATTTAAAAAGCAATTTATTCAGCCAGTATTGGAGATTGTGCAGATTGAATGGAGGAGTCACATCCACTACTTCCAAATTCTCCATGGACACCACTCATCCCATTCCGGTGCAATCGCTTGCTCTCTCTCTCCCTCTCCACTCCTTTATCTCACCCCACTTCACAAACTCTTGTGACTAATATTTCTCCAAGAGGAGTTTTGAGTAAAAACCATTTCAGTTTGGAAAATCCCCAGTAGTCTGGAGAAGAGTGACTTGAATGATGTTGAAGGATGCTTAACTGCTCTGAAATTTAATGCACAAACACACACACACACACAATACACACACACAAATATATATATATATATATATATATATATATATATATATATATATATACAGTACTATACAAAAGTCAGAGACCACTTGTTTATTTATTGAATTTCCAGTTGAAATGTCCATTAAGTGCAAGTTTTTTTTTCTACCAAAGGAAAAAAAAAGCAGAGAATATATTGCTGCTCTCTGAACAAAACCCATGTCTTCAAAATGTTAACTTGACAAAAGGGGGAAAAAATCTGAAATGTTAATGGAAAAAATGACAAAAATAGAGATACAAAGTTTTGTTCAGACAATGACAATATTTTAACAGATTGCACAGAAGCCTCAATAGCTAAATATTTATATAATACCATATTTTTTTTTACCATTTTTGTTTGTCCACTGTTTGCCTTTATTACAGCTTCTATTCTTTTTCATTTCTAACTTGTTTTTGGTTTTTCAAAGAAATCTGCAGGGATATTTTTCCATACCAATTTTTTGTGCCTCTCATAATGCAAATAAACCCAATTACAAATTCACACTCCTCAGTCCAAAAACCCTTCCTTCACATCTCAGATGTCCAGTTTTGGTGTTCTAGTTTCTAGTTCTTTTTTGTCTATTTCCTGTTCTCAGTAAAATCTTTGTGTCAGCTACACGTCATTTCAGACTCATAGCGTTGTCTTCTCACAGTAGAAGGATGGAAACAAACACTTGTGGATTTTTTCAGATCTGAAGCAAAAATGGAGTCCTCTCTAAAAATGGAGACATCTCTAAAAGATGAAAGCTTTAAGGACTGTTTATCTGATGGCGACACATTTGATGGTCTACCAGGTCTTGTACAGTTGTTGAGAGTCCCATTTTCTCTACATCTTTTAATAATTTCTGAAGTCTATTTTTGAATTCTCCTTTCATATACAGGTGGATTGTCTTATATCTAATATCCTCACAAATATCTCCTGAAAAAAATAAATAACTTGTACTTAATGGCTGGACGTTAAATAAATTATGGATGGTCTCTGATATTTGCACAGTACTGTATGTATGTGTGTGTGTGTGTGTGTGTGTGTGTGTGTGTGTGTGTAGCCTGTAGGTTGGCCCTTTGAAGTGTGCTCTATTCCAGAGGTGCAGTGGGTGATCATTCATGGTTTCAGCAGCCTTTCATTCATCTCCCCTGCTCACACTCACACACACAGCTATGTAAACCCCATCTCTCGCTGGATGCGTGCTTAACAAGGGCCAGGACTCCTGCTACTACCATGAGCTATCACCTCCCAGACAGAGACACAGAGAGAGAGAGAGAGAGAGAAGAGAGAGAGAGAGAGAGAAAGATTAATCAGTTCTCCTAAATGCTGGCTGCCCCCCAGAGACCCTCCCTCACACTGAGGCCCATAGGTATCTCCCACCCTTGAACACAGCATGCTCAATCTTATTGGAAGGGATCGTTGTCAAAAAAAATGAAAAAAAATAAATAAAAAGAAATGTGCATTTGCAGTGCAAGTGGAAGCTAACATCTATTGTCTGCCTCTGTCTGCAGCACAAGTGCTTCACTCTCTCTCTCTCTCTCTCTCTCTCTCTCTCTCTCACTTAAACACAGGCTCATGTTATTGATAGGGAATAATCTGTGCCAGTGCAGGATCACGCAGGCACTTCAGCTGTGCCTGTGGGCTTAGACAGTGGAGATCTTATTGCACAGTCAGGTCACTTTTATTGCCAATTCACTTCATCCCTAAATGAGCCTCTCTGCGCAGAAATAGCACGTTTGTCCTTGATCGTGCTTTAATGTAGAAATGTTCATTAGCTGGAAAAACTTTGCTGTTCTCGTGTGCAATAATTTACATGATCTAATGAGAGAAATATCCTACCCACACTTCTGTAATAGCTTAAATTAGTCATTATAAAATGAAAAAAGGTGAAGTGCTTTTTATTCTCAATATGTGGCATTTGTATCATGTAACATTTGGCAATCCACTAGCAACAATGAAACTACTTTGTGAGTTCTTGCTGTTAAATTACAAACTATTACATTACAACAAACAAACATGTTTAATTAGTTTTATTGAGTCGCAGTAAACTTAAGCGGTTTCTTTTGCAAAGACATTAAGAGTTACAGTTCCTAATTCATCTTAATCTCTAGAAAGCAGTTTCATCCAAGCATTGCTCGGAATACTTTTTAAATGGATCTGTTTATCCTACTAGTGTAATGTGGTCT